GAACGCGTCCGCGCCGCCAGCGACCTTTTCCATGGAGCCGAGAGTCCCTCCCATTTGTATGTCGACACTGACCACTTTCCCAGGCCCTCTAGGGCACGAGCGGCACACTCTATTCGGAGAATCACTTTTGCAAAGACTAGCTGTCTTGTCATATAAAGAAGGTGAATCTGTTGTTGAGAACGCAGGAAGTGTTAAGAAAAGCAATTGTTTTCGGACAACGATATCTTATCTGCTTGGGCTCCCAAACTGAAACAACCAAAACCCAAGTTTATGTGTGAACAATGAATAAAACACGAAACGGGATCATAGAAAGGCACGGGTCGGGATCAAGTTGGAGTGTTTTTTTTTGAAGTGAATAAAGAGGTACGAAAAAGAACGTCAATGGAGAAAACCCGAGAAGAAACCGACAGCAAGGCCGAAAAACCCTCTTCCCAACTTCAGCGAAGGAGGCCCGCGAGGGGTGCGCGTCCAAAGAAATTTTTCGAACCCGCCATTCATTCTCGGTGCCATCAGTTCAAACGGTAATCAACGTCCTTATCCATCTGATTTCACGCACCTTTCTGGGCCTTCGCGCTCTCATCCCTGGGTTGCAGACCAAGCTACAGTAGTTGTCACCTGGATTTCTCTGTCCGCCTCTTCCCGATCCCTGCTAAGTCCGGCACAATACTGTCCATTAACTTTATGGTAAGCGGTCAAGGTAACTCTATAAAAGGGACTAATCATGGTACACGTGAAATGGAATTGCTTCAAAATTCAAGGCACTGTAATAGCATACAGTTCACTGTAATAGCCAACCTTTCCTTGTCGGGGTGCAATCGGGTACCCGACAGAAGGGCCGTCGCGTGGCAAGAAGGCAGAGTCACCGAGCGAGTCACAGCGCGTGATGCGCGTGGGACGTAATGACACATTCTATTTAACTTGACGCGAAATCACTACAGTATGCGTTGCAACTCGTCCGCTGACTAGGCCTTGTTGCCGCGCCAAGGGTCTACCCAATGCAGCTGATCCATGGACAGTGTAACTGATAGCTCGCTGTGTTCGCAGAATCACTTCGAAATGGCCATCGCTCCTATCCTGCACCACAGAATGCCATTACCCCTTTTCATGTTAAGAAAGAGGAAAGTGGTAGAGAACCACACACCAGTTAGTCTTGATGATGGCTTGAATGATGGGCGAATAACGGATTTATATCGATACATATTGATTTCAGCTTTATAATATCGATTCAACGTTCTTTGAAGCCGAGGACCTGTGCGTTGCACAGGGCGGACATTTGGCTTCCATCCATAGCCAGGAAGAGAATGAGCCTTCATTTACTGTAAGCGCAATTTTTCAATTGAAGAAGGAATTCCAGAAAGCCCAAAAGAGATATCGGGGTTAAAAGCCCATAAAATCAGAATTAATTTAAGATTAAACACTATATCAATTATTTACCCTCTGTAGCAACTCTATTTGAGTTTTACTCAATACTTCCTTCAATTCAGAGCATCACCACCAGATGGAATTTGTGAGGTCACAGGAGTTTTGTGAAGTTGTGGATGCCGAATCGGGTAAAAATGTAAATCAGCATAGAAAACCGTCGGCGAAGCCGAAAAAAGAGATTTCTCTCTGAAAAGGGATATGAGACGTCCTTGACTTTGACTGTCTCACGGCTTTGAAACTAACCCGCGCAAGTCCACCGCGCCCTATCAATGGGGATGTTTGCTACGTATCTCGTCCCGAAGTGGTACAGGATTTAGTCACCAACTTCTGACTTTGAAAAGATCCACGCATGTCGCGCACTTTCGAGCGGTGATAACGGCACACTTCCATGCTACTTGTGGGCTATTCTATCTACAGACCGAGTAGATGCGACTTCTGCTGGGGGTGTTAGAAGAGGTTGTCACGATAAACGGGAGGGCACTGCAAAAGAACGCGAGGAAAAGTGAATGTTCTCGAGCGCCATTATCTCCTCTTCTGCTATTATTAACGTTTTCGATTGAATCAGGGAATAATACGGAAATAAGCTCTCCCAGCTATCCTCTGCAACTCGGAACAGGCTAATCCAGTTGTTAGCAGCCCTAGAGTTTTGAGAAGGGAACTGCAGCGAGAAAAACCAAAAGCCAAAAGGAGTCATAGATTACATAGAAATTCGAGGAGTCCTTCATCGTGAGAAATCGCACTGTGATACGACGTCAGAGAACAAACGTGCGCAAGAGATAGAACGGGAGAGAGCACGTGCACATCGCGAGACACGCCGCGGGTGCCTAGTCCCCAAGTATAAACGGCATTGGTCACGATGGTCGAGGCCACGAATTAGCGCCCTTTTCAAGTGCTTTTGGTTCACGACAGGGCCACGACTCATGTGCTCAGAAATCTGCCTACACACTACAACAAGTAATTTGCCTTTCAAGATATCTGTTCGTGCCTATGAATTTTAATTATTTGGCCTTTCCACTTGTGGATTTAAGTTCAGTGGTTCCTCGAAATAGAAACTGGCTTTTTGCTTTCAGGGTTGACTACAAACGAACAGCCCGCAACCAAGGAATCTGATCATACATGGATAGGTCTAAGAAGAAAGTTGCTCTTGTGGAATCACCTCGCGGAGAACCAAAAACAAAGTTACGGCGAATGGGTCTGGACGGATGGCACTCCGGTGGATTATACCGAGTGGGCTCATGATCAACCCGACAATTTGGACAAAGGCGAATCATGCGTGCAGGTTACTTATTCATTTTTGAAGTTGATTACAAAACATCATTTCTTCCAAATACGTATTCAAGTCTTGAGATTTTGGAGGAAAATTAAATGTTTCAGTGAGCATCCCTTAGATGCACTTAGCACGATCACTTCGGTTACCTCAGTCTTATCAGTGAATACGGGACTCAAGTAGAAAAAACGCTAATTTCGACTTTCACGCGACGAAAGTCTATTTCATTCTAAACTGCTCCGTCTTGTAATCGTGTCGTATCGTATCTTTACCGGGGTATTGAACATTGCTGGAGTGAAAAAAATACTTAAGAAGCCCTCCCGTTTACAAATACTGCAGTGCACTAGAAGCAAATCCTACGAAGGTGAGCTTTGGAAAACCAAAATGCGTGTCTTATGTTTTGAAGGCATGGCCCGTGATTAAATCCTAGTTGGATTCTCTTCTTGAGTTAGAAAACAGCACCCCAAGAGGTGGTAGTACTAACGCGACTTAAAGTGCGCGACAGATAGCTAATGCCCTCGCCTGACCTCTGACCGCTGCCATTCTTACCAATTGCAGCATACGTGGTGTCTACACCCTCCCTCGTACGATGTGCTATCTCACGTTTTCTTTCCCCGAAGCACTGTATCTCATCGTCAGTCGAGTTCAGTTTCTTATGGTGTTTTTTTTTCTACACCAACCATCTGTGTCTTCAATTTGCGCCGCACGCTACGCATTCCCCAGTTCCCAGCACTCAAAGCCATCGTCCATTTTCATAAATCGAAACTTTTTCTACTTCTTCATGAAGAAGAATCCTATGATGGAGGCGAAGGTCGTAGAAAGGGAAACTTACTCACATGAAAACCTTCTCAGGTCGCCATGGCCATACCATTTGAGATATAATCACATAAACGTGGTACCGTGAACATGATACTTCTTGAAACCACCAGTCTGTCTGTAAAACTTGCGCCATTCTCGGACTTGAATCCCTGGATGACAGGACTCATAGCCGGGTTTTGCCAGTGCACCAGGGATCACTCGATCACAGCATCGGAAGAGATCTTGACAACAGGTAAGCAACGGATGTTGTTTGCAAATCTTAGACTCCAAGCGGTGTTGATCCAGCAACCTTGCCAGCGGCAGCGTGGAACGTTGAACGTGGATTGAGCCATTGGCGATTCGCCACGGTGTACGTGGTGAGCATCCCCTACTTTGTCTGTAGAGTTGTAGAGGAGTAGTCTACAAATGATGCAAACTTTCAGACATCTCGTAGTATTCCCGTGACCGATCCAATACCAACGTGGACCGCAGGCGCTACACCATTGACCAACTGATGCAACGTGCTTCACTTTCCCTTTCCAACACCTGCTCGACCCTTGGC